TTTCTGCTGGCACCAGCCAGCCTCGTCCTTCAAAGCCCCTGCCGCCCCTCCCGAACAGGGATGACCAGTGACCCTTTTTCACATGAAAAGGCACAGGATGCTTCCAGTAGAGCCTGGGGAGGGGGAAACTGAGACACATAGAACAGACACACAGCAACACTGGACAGGGACTGTATTCCAGAAGGTAAATCATGTTCAAGTTGATTGGGATGCAGTCTGTCCCTTCTCCCCCAGCCTCAAACCCCCTGGTGTCCCCAAGGCAATAAATACTCCCCAGGCTACTACACGCAGAAAGAAGCTCCCGGCCCACTGCCTCCCCTGGGCATCACAGCTCGGTCTTCACCTTGTGCATCAAGTCCTTCTGGTCAATCTTCTCCAGGTCCTGATGCCAGCGGTTGTAAGCCAGCAGGGCCACGTTTTTGGCTGCCACCGCTATCATCTCCATGGAGCTGGCCACCCACTCCACGCCGCTGAGGTAGAAGAGGTTTTCATGGAGCACGATGGGCGGGAGCGACTTGGCGGCATCGTAGCGGGGATACGCCTGCCACTCTGTCACCTGCACCGAGTAGTAGGACCTGAAGAGGGTCTTCAGCTGCTGCTTGTCCAGCGGCTGCTGGGAGAGGACACGCCACACTGCGGCCTCCTGGGGCTGCTTACGACGGAAAGCCGCTGAGATGTTGACAGGACAGATGTTGTCCATGGCATTGAAGAAGAGGTCAGGGGTGTCGGTGGTGAGGATGCTGGCGAACGGGAAGAGCTTGGGGTCAGGGAAGCCAAAGTAGGAGGAGTTGAGGTAGCCGTGTACCACGGAGGTGACAGAGGGCTGGAATGCTCCGGGGAAGTCAGCGATGGGCGGCTCGAAGTTCTCGAAGGTGAAGTTGCTCCTGCTCGGGTGCAGGGGAGTTGTCACCACCACCATGTCGTAGAAAGCTGAGCCCTGGCCTTCACTGCCTTCATAGTGCACCTGGTACAGGGCTCTTCCCTCTGAAAAGAGACGGTGGACAGTTAGGAGCAGCCCTGAGCAGCAAGCTGTATTGCCCTGGCCCCCTTTTTCTAGCAGAGCCTCCATCCCTTAGTTTTCCAGTACACACCAGTGACAGACCATAGCATCTGATAATTATGGATGAGTTGCTGATGCTTTAGGGCAGCGGAAAGAGCATCTTATCAAGCCTGGGGGAGAGTTTCCAGAGAAGCCCAGCCTAGTGGGGTAGGGAGGACTGGGGCAGCGCAGCCCACCCTGCAAATCCCAGCTATCCAGGCCTTCTGCTGTACTGGGCTGGGGAACAAGCTTGCAACAAGGCTGGTGCCATAGAAGAGACCTGAGAGACCTCAAGGGGGGAGGGGAACTCCAGGCCAAGGCCTGTACCATAGGGCCCCCACCAGATCAGATGATGGGAGAAGATGCACAGACCCCCAGGCCTTTGCCCAAATTCTTTACCAGGACCAAGATGCTCACCAGCCTCCCAAGGCTTCCTCTCTGCCTCAGCATCCCCATGCTGCCACCACCCACCAGTACCCAGAGCAAATCCAGCTCACCCGAGCTGTGCAGAGAGATGCCCGTCACCCTGGCTGGGATGATGTTGGCTTTGGTCAGCTTCAGCAGACCTGAACACACGAGCTTGTTGCCTCCTTCCACCGCCCAGGTGCTGCCCTGGGCCCCTGCCAGAGACATGGCCCCTGGGGAGAAGGAGAGAAGGGTGGTTCAACAGCCTGCCTGGGGAGGGAACACCAGGAAGGAAGAGTAAGGTCCCAGATTTCACCTGCAAAGGCAGGCACCAGCACCGACTGCCCATAGCTGGAACGCAGGACGGCCGCGATGACGTCGTCCACAAAGCGCTGCGAGACGCCCACCTCCAGCAAGGACTCGGCCACTGAACGCTGTGTCATGTTGACAAAAGCGTCACCCCCCAGCGAGTGCAGCAGCTCCTCCAGGCTGGAGAAGGCATAGCCGTGTGCCTGGTACTTGTAGATCCTGAAGGGGACAGGAGCACAGGGTGCCTGGTGACGCCCCAGTGCCAGGGAAGACCCTTTGTGTCCCTCCAGCCCCGCAGGTTCTCCCACCTCATGAACTTCTCCATCACCTCCTCCACCCACATCTGCAGGCGCAGGAAGCTGATGCCATAGTGCCACCAGAGCCGGAAGAGGTTGAGCAGGTACCAGTCGGTCTCCTCCAGGACAAAGTGCTCCCCGCTGAATATGGCGCTTTTCCCTGCCACCTCGCGCCGGTGCTTGAGGCCTGCAGGGAGCAGAAGTCTTTGTTGGGCTCGCATGCTTCCCTGAGGCTGGCCGGCAGCTGGGGAAGGCCAGCGCCAAACACCGCAGCAGTAAGGATGCAGGCAAAGATGCTCTTGGAGGAGCATCAGAGAATGCAACGCTGGGACCCCAGCCAGACCCTGTATGTTGGGGCATCCCATGGAGTTGATATGCTGATAGCTGGAACAAACTGGTGGGATTTTGTGAACCCCCTCCCATGCACTAATTCCACCAGGATTCCTCACCCTGCTGCTTTGCTGGGCCACCCCATCCCTTTCTCTTCCAGGGCATAGCAGGGCTGGGGCACAGGGACAGCATGGGGGGTCACGGCACACCTGGAGTGCTGAGGTGGACTGGAAGCAGCCCTCCCCACACCACCACGGTGCAGCCCCTCGGCTCAGGAAGGGAGGCCACGCAAGCGCTGGGGTGCCCATGCTCACCCAGGATCTTGACAAAGTCCTGCATGTGGAGGCTGAGAACGTGGATGGAGGCTCCCCTGCTCTCGTACTGCTGCTTGTTGACCGTGACGGTGGCCAGCCGCCCGCCCACGCTCGCC